TTTTTTTCAGGATTTTGTTATAGGGTTTGTGCACTCGCCAGAGAGAGACAGAGGAGGAAAATGATAAATCATCCCCATTAAGGAAAATAACCATTCCAAAATTCCTCCTCCTCCATTCTCTTCCTGGAATTTTAGGCACCCAGGCACATACACGCAGTGTGATCATTTTTTTTAGACATTTTTGCTATAAGGCACATGCACTGGCCAGAGACACGAAGGGAGAAATCACCCTCCGCCCCAGAGCTTCAATCCTTCCTCCATTCTACTCTGGGGATCTTGAGCATACGCGGCACACACACACACACACACACACACACACACACACGCACACACACACACACATCCCGTGAGTTTTAAGCAGCCAGGTCCGCCACTTAAACAGTGGTCAGTCAAATAAGAGTCCAGCACTTTAACCACTGTGCCACCTGCTAGCCCCTGGCCTAATATTTTTATGATATACAATAAAAAATGATATTTAGATGGGGCCAGCAGATGGCATAGAGGTAAATGTGCTGGACTCCCAAGTTGTCAACTTCAGTTCGAGTCCCAGACCAAGAGGCTTGAAACTCACTCCAGACACATGTGTGTTCATTTCCAAAATCCCAAGAGGAGAATGGAGAAGGGCTTGTGGCACGGCCATCCCCCTGAAGGGTGATTTCTCACTTTCCCACTCTTGGTATCTCTCGGTCTCTCCAGAGAGCACAACACCCTATATCAGAAATCTTTCTCTCAAAAATAATTATTACTATTAAAGGACTAGCAGATGGCACAATGGTTACATCACTGAACTCCCACGTGGTCAACCATGGTTCGCTTGAAACTCACCCCAGACACATGTGCATGTATGCCCAAAATCCTGAGAGGAGAATGGAGGAGAGGGGATTGTGGCAAAGCTATCCCCCTGGGGAGTGATTTCTCACTTTCTGGCTCTCCGGCGAGCACATGAACCCTATAGCAAAAATCTTTCCACAGAAATAATAATAATAATTATTTAAATAATTAGAAAAATCAGAACCAGCAGTTGGCATAATGGCTCTGTCACTGGCCTCCCATCTAGTTGACTGCAGTTCGAGTCCCGAACTTGGTGGCTTAAAACTCATGCTGGACGCATGTGCGTGTGTGCCCAAGATCCCGAGAGAAGGGGAAAGTGATTGCAGCACAGCCATCCCCCCTGGAGGGTGATTTCTCACTTTCTGTATCTCTGTCTCTCTCTTTCTGGCGAGTGCACGTGCCCTATAGCAAAAAATCTCTCAAAAAATAAAAAGGTGAAAAAAATAATAATTGGAAATATAAACATGGAAAAGACAGGTACAGCTTTTCTCTTTTTAAAATTATTTTATTTAACTTTATTTATTCATTTAAATTTGACCAGAGAGGGCCAGGGTGAGGGAGAGAAAGAGAGAGAAAGAGTGGAAAAGTGAGAGAGCAAGCTGCCAAGTCCAGGACTCAAAGTGGTCAGCCATGTGGGAGTCCAGTGCCCTTAACCACCATGTCAACTGCTGGCCCCCAGGTATAGGTTTTCAACATATTATATGAAATAACTCTGTCAAGGCACTAAAAAGTATCAAAATTCTTATTCTCAATTTCTGCATTTATGTGTGGAGAGGTACCAGTAGTATTTAGAACCCAATGGGTTTATATTTGTTATTATTATTATTACTACAGGATACATGTGCTCACCAGAGAGAGAGACAGACAGACAGAACTCCCTGGTGAAGCATAGTCGCACAGTTTCTATTTTTTAGAGAGATTTTTGCTATACAGAACATGCGCTTTCCAGAGAGACAGAGAGAAACAAAGAGACAGAAGGCAAGAAATCACGCCCCCCCCCCCAAACCCCCAAAGGGGCATAGCCATGCCGCAATCCCTTCTCCTCCTTTGGGAACACACGCACACATGCCCAGCATGAGTTTTAAGTTATCTGCGTCCAGGACTTGAACTGCAGTCAACCACATGGGAGTCCAGTGATGTAACCATTACGCCATCTGCTGGTCCCCACACAATTCCTTTTTTCCATTTCTCCCTCTTATCAGGATTTTGGGCACACACACCAGGCATACTTATCAGCCACTCCCCACCTCCCACTCCTGACTCCAACTTAGGTGAGCCACGTTGGACCTCACTCACTATGCACAGTGCTTAAACATTGTACACTCTTTTAATAAAATAGATTTATGAACATATCATTTACATACCATACAATTCTCCATTTAAAGTGTGCAATCAATGACTTCTAGTATGTTCACAGAGTTATGGGACCACCATGATGAATTTTAGATTTTCATAACTCCTGAAGAAACCCCTATAACCATTGGCAGTCACTTCCCGTGTCCCCCTACTCACACCCTCCCCCAATATCCTAAGCAACGACTAATCCCACCACACTCTGAGTAGCACTGATGTAGATTATTTGAAACTAGATCAACTGACAATAGATTTGATGTTAAGGTTGATACACATGCACAGAATTGAGGGCCTGTGAGAACCTGTTCTGTGTCCTAGTGGTTAAGGCAGCCAGATTCCACATGGACAAGCCCATAGCTCAGGTCCCAGACCCAGCAGCTTGAGAAACACTCCAGGCCCATGTGCCTGTGTGCCCCAGATCCTGACAGGATGGAGAAATGGGGGAGGAGGGATTGCAACATGACCGTTCCTTGTGGGGGGTCCTTTCTCCCTCTCCATCTCTCTCTCTATTTATCTCTGGCAAATTTACATATGTGTGTGTGTGTGTGTGTGTATGAGGAAATGCATAGGAATGAAACATCATGGTCTATGGCTACTCTCTCCAGTCATAAACCACCAGGAAAACACCTATAGTTAAAAAATATTAGGTTTACGAAATACTAAGATTGACAAGAGAAAAAAGGCAGGTTACCTGCAAAGGATATCCCATCAGGCTAACAACAGACTTCTCATCAGAAACAATGTGAGAGAGGAAATAGTAGGAAAATATATTAAAAGTGTTAAGGAAAAACCAATTTCAACCAAGAATACTTTACCCGGCAAGATTATTCTTCATATGGGAAGAAAAGACAAGAACTTTCTCAGATAAACAAAACCTGAAAGAATTAACCAGCACCAGACCAGATCTCCAAGTTCTCAAAGGAGTGCTATAACAGGAAAATTAAATACACATAGAAATAAGAGTTCAAAAACTAAGAAAAAGGCCAACTTAATCATAGGGACAAGTCTGGAGTTGAATATTATATTCCAGAATTCGATTGGGAAGATCGAATCACAATAGGATAGGTTAAGTACATGAGACTGAACTGGTGAAATAGCATTTTATGACTTTTGACTAAAATATTACTGATTATCTTCTAGGCTTTGTTGTCTGGTTTTAAGGATTTTTGTCCTGTCTTGAGCTGTCGATAGGTTCATGTACCTATTCTTTGAACAGAATCTGAACCTGTTTCCTAGCTTTAAGTTTTAAGCAAAGCTCCTTAGCATTTCTTTGATTTATTAAAGTTAAGACTGCTTTTCTTGAAATTACCAACTGAACTTGTTATTAAAAGTAATTAGATTATTTAAGAAATTGTGTGATCAATAAAATGTGGGGTAAAAGGAATAAAAGACAACTGTAGACACCAGAGATAGTGTGAAAAGAGGGTGGGAAAGGGCAGAGGGTCAGAAATAGGGGTTAAAAAAAAATATATATATGTATGTGTGTGTGTGTATATATATATATATGAAACTAGAAATGGAAAATTATTGATGATAACATGTATAATTAAGCCACTATACAGTATATTCTAGATGGGAAATCACATTTTGTATGCTGTGACAATGCTTAGGGAATGAATGCAATTAACTAATTTTTAAAAAGTTTCATGGGGGACCAGCAGTTAGCGTAATGGCTATGTCGCTGGACTCCCACATAGTCGACCGTTTCGTGTCCCGGACCCGGTGGCTTAAATTCAGGCTGGTCGCGTGTGCATGCGTGCCCAAGATCCTGAGAGGAGAATGGAGGAGAAGGGATTGCGGCGTGGCCATCCCCCCTGGGGGGTGATTCTCGCTTTCTATCTCTGTCTCTTTCTGTCTGGCGAGCACATGTGCCCTATAGCAAAAACCTCTCCAAAAAGAAAAAAAAAATGTTTCAGGGAAAAAAAAAAACATGAAAACTGTTTTCCTTGAAATGAAAAAAAATGCATTAAAAATACCTATTTGATGACTGCAGTAAGCTATATAGCCCCAGCTAGGTGCTACTTTATAGTATTTTCATTCTACTCACTGAGGTTTATGCCTAAAGTCAGATTTGTATTCATAGATATGTATATATCAGCTGTGCTTGCTATTGAAAATATTTAGAAAAATTAAGATCTTTTGTGAATCAATAAAATGTGTGTGTGGCAGGGAAGGCATAGAAAGCAACCATGGATACCGGAGACAGTGTGGGAGGAGGGTGGGAGATGGTAGAGGGTGAGAGATAAGGAATCAGGATGGGAAAAAAACAAAACATACAGGAAACAAGAAATGGAAAATTATTTGTTGACGATAACA